TGCTCCTGTCTAAACTAAGAGGCTGTTGGTTGAAGAAAGCCAGTAGTTTAATGCCATCCAGTCATGCACAGCTCATAGAGACCCTATAAACAAAAGGCTTGAAGCCTTTCTGTAACTATCATCTTTTCCAGAGTTTCCAGAGGCATGTAGTTTAGGAAGTGGATGTCACTCCTGCTTCCAAACTGAAAGCTCCACCAAACACTGTCCACCTTGGGTACCCACTATGGTATTTGTCTCGTAATGGCACAAGGTTCAGCATCACACCAAACCCAGATTACCTCAGTGCAGCAAAATTGACAGAGCAGTGCTACACAATTTAGAAAAATGTTCCTCCAAAATCACATTAGACCCTCAGGTCCAACCAATATTTAAATACATGGGCCCTCCATATATATTTGTAAATGAGCAAAAGGCCTAAAGCCTTTCTATAACTATAGTCATTTCTCCAAGTTCATACAGCTTCCAGAGGAATGTGGTTTAGGAAGTGGATGCCACTCTTGCTTCGAAACTTTAATCAAAATAGGAGCTCCACCAAACATTCCCCATGAAGGGTAGCCATTATGGTGTTTGGCACACCTCTGGCACAATTGCTCCATTATGGCCTTTGAGACTCCAATGGCAAATGGTTCAGTGTCACAGGAAACCCATACTACCTCAGCACAGCAAACAGACCAGAGTGTTGTATTACTTAGAAAAGCCAAACATTTCTTTTCTGTTGTTGTTGTTGTTAAGTGCCATCGAGTGTTAGGCAACTCATAGCAACACTATGAATGAAAGTCCTGGACACCTGTTATAACTTTCATCCTTTCTCCAGGTTCATAGGGTTTCCAGAGGCAAGCTATTTCGGAAGTGGATGCCACTCCTGCTTCCAAGCTTGTTATAATTGGGGAGCTCCACCAAACACTGTCCACCATGGGTAACCATTCTCACATTTGACTCCTTCTTATAAGATCCAAAAAATAGTAACAAGTGATTAAAATATAATCCCTTGGGCCCAACTTTTAAACATAAGGACCCTCCAGGAGGTCTTTTTGACTCTAAACAAGAAGCTTAAATGAAAAACAACCACACAATTCATACAGATCATCAACCAAAACAAGAGTGCCATCGTACAGAGTCTACCATTTCACCCAACTCCAAAATAAAGACAAGTGCCTGGCTTTATATGTTGCTGTTATTAAGTGTCATAGAGTAGTGACCCTATAAATAAAAAACCCTAACCCTGTTCTATAAAAGTTGTCATCTCTCTAAATTCATAGAATTTCCACAGGAATGTTTAGGAAGTGGATGCCACTCCTGCTTCCAAGCCTGTCTTAATCTGTGAGCTCCACCAAACATTGTCAATCATGTGTAACCATTATGGCAATTGATGCACCATTGGCACACCATTTACTATCACAGGAATCTTAACTTACCTAAGTTATCCTAAGTACAGCAAAATGACAAAAAAGTGCCATACCACGCAGGAAATGTTCATTTCAAACACAATTAAATCAGGCCCGAGGGCCCAAATTATTATTATTAATTTTCTTTTAAAGCCCCAGCTTCTGTACTAGTCTCTTATTGGCTCCAAGGAGACATTCCCAGCCCGCTCTCATCACTGTTCAAGAGGCAAGAGTCATCCTCCATGACTACTGTAAAAACAGAAGGATGACTAGTAAAACATGTATGGTGACCCAAGGGGGAAGGAGTGGGAACAGTGGGGTTACAGGTTGGGCATAATTTGCTTGGTGAGGGAGCAGGGGGCAAAGGAAATGGGAAAGATTTGGGAGGATCTGAAAAGACAGGGTAATGGTTGTTGTTATGTGCCATCGAGTTGCTTGCAACTCATAGCGACCCTATGTACAACAGCCCTAAACCCTGCTCTATCCTGTGCCAATCACACTGTCTCCAACACACCCATCCTGATTACCCTAGTCACTGAATCAATCCACCTCATAGAGGGCCTTCCCTTCTTGCGCTGTCCCTCCACCCTACCAAGCATGATGTCCCTCTCCAAGGACCAGTCCCTCCTTACAACATGTCCAAAGTGTGTTAGACGGAGCCTCAGAATCCTTGCCCCCAAAGAGCCGCCCAGATTAGCCCTTTCCAGAATGAATCTGTTTGTTTTCCTAGCAGTCAATGATACCCTCAATACTCTTCTCCAGCACCACAGCTCAAAGGCATCAATTCTTCCTCTGTCCTCCTTAGTCCAACTCTCTGATGCATAACAAGTGATAGCAAAGACCATGACTGTATCAGACACACCTTAATCTCAAGAGAGACACCATTGCTCTTCAGTACTTTGGGGAGGTCCCTAACAGCAGACTTTCCCATCCCAATACATCTTTTCATTTCCTGGCTGCTGGTGCCAAGAGTGTTGACTGTGGAGCAAAGCAAACTAAAGCTGTGAACAATCTCAATCTCTTCACCATCCATTCTGATGCTGCTAATTGGTCCAGTGGTGAGAATTTTTGTCTTCTTGACATTGAGCCTCAATCCCTGTTGGAGGCTGCAGTCCTTGATCCTCTGTAACAAGCATTTCAGGTCCTCCTCAGTTTCAGCAAGCAGGGTTGTGTCATCTGCATAATGCAGATTGTTGATAGATCTTCCACCAAGAAGCTATCAGAATATCTGAATCAGCCTAAGTAGGGTTTATCTGCAAAGATGTATTATCATGTAAAGCTTCCTTTATAAGGCCCTCTTGAATATTCACACACACCCAAAATTTAGTCTAAAAGTATGCATTGGTCATTATGCATACTTTTCTTCTGAGTGAATAGAAGTTTTTTCCTTCTTTTTTCCCCCCCTTTTTTTTTAAAGAAGGCTTCAGTTTTCTGTAACTTCAAATTATCAAGAAACTAAATTAATTGCAACACTAATATAAAAATTCCAAGATTCTTTCTCAAAAATGGCTACTTCAGTGCTACTTCCCAAACATTAGAAGTAAAAAAGAACAACAACAACAACAAAAAAAAAAACCCCAAACCCTAAGTGACACACTGGAGCTAAAACCATCCAAATTATCAGACACTTCAAATCTACCCTTGCCCTAGCATATTCTCTTTCCACTAGCATCATCGGTCATTATTCCAATTATCTTCTCAGAGATTATACAGTTTCGTCACAAAATAATTTCAGAGAATCTTATGTAAATCTGTTGTTTATCTCTATCAAAAGATGATTAAATCTTACATATTGGCTCAAATGTGAATCATAGTTGTATAAAGGGCTGTGAGAGGAAATAATCAACACAGCAATAAGGGAAAAATGTGTCATTATGTTCACTAACATTCAAGCTGTAATATCAGTAGGAAAAAATATGTCACTTAAACCGATCTCCACTTCAATGGTGTTCCCTGACAACATAGGCCAATCCTTTTTAGGGATAACAATGTCCTTACAAAACTATAATATCTAAATTATAAGTGTATAAAATGTGTGTGCAAACATCTGTTCCTGTTCTACTAGGAATGCTAATGACGTCTAGGAACTAGTGATAAAGACCTGACATCGTAGTGTTTGCACAGTCAACCCAAAGGCAGGTGATTCCAGTTCATCAACCACTTAAAGGAAGAAATATGGGCAACCTCCTCCTGTTCGATTTATAGCCTCTGAAAAACCGATGGCTGGTAAGCTATGAATCAGTTCAGACTTAAGAGAGCATAACAACAATATGCATACATATTTCTATGCATAAATGTATGTACATCACACATATATACATATGTATTAGTTATAAATAACTGATATATGAAAAGAAAGGAAGGAAAAAAAGTACTTCACAGAGTGTTGTATCTTACACAGACTCTCACCTTGTATTTGAAAAACCTGGTCCCAGTTAATAACATCATGCTCTTCCAATAGCTGTTGGTAAGCCTTGACATCCTTGTAGAACACAGCATAGGCATTCGTATAATGGTCCAGGTTATCCGTCTCAACCTAAGACAGAGCACATAATTATAAAAATCTGGCACATATCACCTGGATGACCTAAATCCTAGATAGATTAGATACCATCACCAGGGCATGTCTAGATAATTTTCTGTAATCAAAATGAACCACCTATAAAATCATGGTGAAACGGAAATGTGGCTAATTGATATTCTGAAAAGGGGGGAAGAAAAGAAGTGTGGGGACTTTTGATGGATTCCTTCCCCTGACAAGGCATTCCATTCGTATTAGGAGAATTTAAAAGTTACTTTACCTTTTTCTGGGAATGGATTAGAAAGGATTTTCTATTATTAGTTGATTATATGTAATTCTTACATTTATAAAAAGGGTGTAACTTAATACTTTTGGTTGGTTTTATTGTTGTAAAGTGCCATACAGTTGAGTTTTGACTCAGAGCAACCCTATGAGCAACAGATAGAAACCTCACCCTAGGCCAATTCCATTCTCACAATCTCCACCAGGTCACGGTTACAGACACTGTATTAGCCATTTAAGGTAAGAATGTCCTCTCTCTCTCTCTCCGAACCTCCACTAGTTTCCACATGCTTTTTCAGTGACTAATGGCTCCAACCAACAAGCCCAGAATATGTGGGATGAAGTTTCACCATCTTTGTATCTAAGATGCATCCTAGTTGCAATTCCTCCAAGACAGATTTGCTTGTTCTTTTTTCACAAGTTCCTGGGATAGATGGTCTAGTGAATAGTGAGCTATGCTGACAGTGTCCATCAGCTGCTCTGCCAAAGAAAGATGGGCAATCTCCTCCTGTGTGATTCACTTACTGGAAGGTCAATTCTGGGTCAGTTCTGACTTGACAGCAATGAATTTGAGTTTGACACTACAATTCAAAAGCATCAATTATTCTTCGATCTCCTTTATTCATAGTCCAACATTCTTATGAAGCACTTAAAAATACTATGGTTTGGGCCAGATGCACCTTAGTTTTTAAACTGAAGTCTTTCCTCTTTAGTACATTAAAGAGGTTCTTAGCTGCAAACATGCCCAATTCAACACTGTGGATTCCATGACCACTGCTTTTGTGGACATCGATTGTGGATCCAATTACATGAAATCTTTGACAGTTTCAATCACTTCTCTATTTATCATTGATGTTGCATATCAGTGAGGACTTTTGTTTTCTTGATGTTGAGGCGGAATCTATGTTGAAGGTTGTAGTCTTTGGTTATCCTTAGTAAGGGCTTCTTCACTTTCTGCAAGCAAGGTTGAATCATCTGCATAAATCAGGTGGTTTATGTGTCTTCTTGCAGTCCTTATCCATATGGTCTAGTTTCTCAAATTATTAAATAACTATGGAGAAAGAATGCAACCTGATGCACATTTTTCTTGATTTTTAAACCAAGTGTTATCCTCTTATTCTGCTTGAACAACAGCTTCTCAATAGAAGTAGTTGTTGGTATGTGCCACTGAGTCAGAACCAAATCAAAGCTGACTCTAGCAGGTTTCCAGGGGTAAACTCCATGTGAGGAGACTGCCAATCTTCTGCTTGTGGAAAAGCTAGTGCTTTGTACTACCTGTCTTTGAGTTGGTAGCACACCTTTTGACAACTAGGTCATTAGAACACCATTAAGGAATACCTATACAAATGAAGCCGTATGCTGAGAACTATGTAGTCAAGTGAGCATATCTTTGAACACGTGAACTTGTCTTTGTACTCAGAAACGGAATTGGAAGACGATGTCCTCAACCTCCTTCCAAATTGATTCACATGATAAAGGTCAAGAAAAAATAAACTATAAGGATCTTTATGTATTTAGGTCTTAGGGAACACTAAGAAAACATGTTCCTGAAAATATTTAGGCTATGGGGAGGATGAGTGAAAAAGAAGATTACCAATGCAGTGCATATGGGCTGATACAATGTATCCACAGTCTTGAGCACAGCAGAGATTGTGAAGATGACATAGAATCAGACGTGGTTTTGTTCTGTTGCATGGTCAGAGTGAGTTCAAAGCCACTGTACAGCACATTATAACACTAGTCAAGTTAGAAACTGAAATATACAGCTTGTTAATCTAACTATAGGATAACATGATTCTTTCATTGCTGTCAAATTGGAACTCTTGGTTGACCCTCCATTTGGGTTTGCAAGACTGTAATGGCAAGGAAAGAGATCATTCACCTTTCTCTGTGAACTGCTGGTGAATTTGAATCACCAAAGGGGCTAATAAGGACCTGTGATAGTCTAGTGGTAATAAGTTGCACTACAATCCTGAAGGCACGTGGTTCAAATCTACCAGCTGTTCCGTGGGAGAAGATAGACAATCTTCTCTGTGCCATTAACTGCCTCTGAAAAGCCTCTGGGGTTTCAGCCATGGTTGGTTCTGATGCACACAACAACAACAGCAAAGGGGCTAATGCACCGAGTTAGCAGAGCAATTCCCAGAAAACGCCAGCTATATGCCATGCTAACATGGCTAATGTATATCTCTTTCACGTAATTCTTTCTTTGCAGTGGATTCTGACTGGGTTGTTTGTTTTTATTTATATATTTTCCAATATTTCAAAACTATACCTCTTTCTGCCTCCTGGTGATGACAGCTTTGAAGTCTGGCCATGAATCCAACACTACTTCTTTATGAAAAGGATTCCCACGATTTATGTTCATCACTGCTCCATAAACCTGAGAAAGAGAAGAGTCAAGTAAATCGTAATAGAGAATGTTTTATTTATGTATTACTTTCTTTACTTCTTGTCCTTCCGTACAATCATGTTCATCAAGCGAAACTATACACACATATATACACAATGCATGCATATATGAACTTCTTTGTTATTTCACCAATGCACATGAATCTGGCATGAAGTCTTTTAAAGCCTATGAAAGCACTCTCTAAATATTGCTATTATTTATGGTACAACAGTGAAAGATACCAAACTGATAGATTTAATGCATCTATGTTTGGTATATTGTTGCTGTGTACTGTTGATTTGGAACCAACTCACAGTTGACCTTCTAATTAGTTTTCAGAGATGGTAAATGGCACAGAGGAAACTGGCAATACAATTCCTTACCAATTAGCCACCAGAGCTCCCTCTTTGGTATATAAGTAATCAACAAATGTGGAATGAAACACAATCTGCTATATTAATTTGGGATTCACGCATTTTTTAAAATTTCCACTAAGATTGATGCTTAACAGCTTTTAAAGTTCATGGTACTGTCTAAAAAGAAACAAATGAAACACAACTATACTTTTAAATGCTTTTTAAGGGTAAAATAATGTCAAAATAGTATTAAAATTATCTTATGTTTGCTTTCATTTTTTTCAATGCAGTGCATATGGGTTGATACAATGACTGTATCAACAGGCTTGAGCACAGCAGAGATTGTTAAGATGGCATAAGAATCAGACGTGGTTTTGTTCTGTTGTACATAGGGTCAGAGTGAGTTCAAAGCCACTGCACAGCACATTATAACACTAGTCAAGTTAGAAAATTATATATATATATATTTGTCATAAGGTTTATATACTACATATATATTCTATATACTATATACATTATAGTGGCCTAGTGGTGCTGCTGCGATCTTAAAGGCACAAAGACCAAATCCACCAGCAGCTCCAAAGGAGAAAAATAGGCAGTCTCCTCCCATGCAACTTACTGTCTCTGAAAACTCACAGGAGCGTCAGCTATGAGTTTATTCTCAATGGACAGCACACAGCAATATATGCTGTGTGTATATGGATCTATCTATCAATCTATCTATCTATCTATCCACACACACACACGCGCGCGCGCACATCCTGGCAAGTTTTCACAGACAGTATATTGCCCATCATTCTCCCACGGAGCAGCTGGTGGCCTCGAGCAGCATGCCTTCAGGATTGAAGCACAGCTTCTTGACACTAGGCCACTAGCGCATATATGTATATATCTATAGCTATACCACCTATATCATCTATCTCTATCTCTAGATAGAGATAGATGTACACACACGTAATGAGTTTAGAGAAATAAGAGTGGTAATGAGAGCTCTAAGCCAATGTTTCCATGGAAAGCAACTCAAATGTCTATCAGTAGTTGTTGTTGTTGTTGTTATGAGCCATCAAGTCACCTGAAACTTTTAGTGACCCTATGTAAAGCAGATCTGAACCCTGCCCTGTTCTGAACCAGTTTTCCTGATTCTGACACACTGCCCCAGTTACTGTGTCAATCCATCTCATCTGGGGTCTTCCTCTCCTATGCTGTCCCTCCACCCTTCTGAGCATGATGTCCTTCTCCAAGGACTGGTCTCTTCTAGCCACATGTCCAAAGTATGTGAGATGGAGCTTCAAAATCCTAGTCTCCAAGGAGAA